AAGTGTGGGGCTGATTAACTCACTCCTTTGTGACACATGTGTAGTGTCATGGTGAGCCCCCAGAATAACCCTGAGGCATCAAATGCAAATGCTCGGCTAGATCATATAGATGTCGCTTTATCCGGCATGCAACACGAGATGCCTATGAGTAGACAGGAAAATGAGATCCTGATGAAGGCTAACCAGGATATGATAAATGCAAATAAGCAGGCAAACAAAGTCCTGATGAATACTAATCAAGATGCCATGACTGCAAATCAGGCGGTGATAAACACCCTGATGAATGAGTTGAGGGCAGTGAGAGAAGGGAGGGACGAGAATAGACAACCTACTCCCCCCCCGCATATGCCTACACCTGAAGGTATTGCAAGTGGTGGAATTGGTAACTGATGGTGAAGCTAGTCACCATACTAGTGAGGCTAGCCATCCTACTGGTGGAGTCAGCCATCAAGTTACCAATCCCCAACCTAATGTAGATGCAGCTAGTGAACAAGATTTGTTAGAAAGAAGGTTGAATGCTTTTAGGAAGTATAAACCTCCATCCTTTAGTGGGTCATATGATCCAGGGGTTGGAGCAAAGTGGTTACAAGCTATGGAGAAGATTTTCAAAGTTATACAATGCAAAGATAATCAGATGCTATTGTATATATATTTATATTTATATTTATCATCAGATGCTATTGTATATATATCCATATTTATCAACTCATTTGATAGTCTCTTCCTTGGGAAGTATTTTCCCAAGATACAAGGGAAAAGAAGCAGGGAAAATTTGAACATTTTGTTTAGGGCTCTATGACTGTTGATGAGCACGTGGTTATGTTCAATGAGCTGGCTAGATATGTAAACTATAGAGGCATAATGCATACTCCAAAATACCTTGATGTTAAGTTTCAGAGAGGTTTCTCAGAGAAGATTGCAAAGAAGATTGCTAGCAGCGGATCAAGGGGCTTTGGTGTTATTGTTAATCAGTGTATAGCTATAGAAGATGTATGTGGAAGGTTCAAGAAGCCTTCTAGTGCCAAGGAAGTTGAGACTAAGAAATCAAGTTGTTCAGTTCTTACTTAGAGTGGCACTATTACTGGATTTTCACAGTGCAAGACTTGTGGGAAATTCCACCCAGGTGCATGCATGTTTGGCCAGAATGTGTTTAGATAGAATGTTGTGGCAAGAAAATTGTCATGTCTTCCAGGGAGACAACCGAGGCTCATTCTTCGTATTTATCAGTGCATCAGGCTTGTAAGGCTTTAGAGGGAGGAGGACTGGGCTATATCTTATTGGAAAGCTTAGTGGGAGAGTCTAAAGATGACATCATGTCTATTCTAGTTGTGAGGGAGTTTGTGAAGGTATTTCCTGAGGAGATTTCACACTTCGCACCAGAGAGGGAGATAAAGCTCTCCATTGGTTTATTGCTTAGTGTGGAGCCTATCTTTATGGCTCTATATCAGATGTAGCCTCTGGAATTATCAAAATTGAAGAAACAGATAGAAGACCTTTCAATAAAGAAGTTTATTAGGTCAAGTGTGTCTTCTTGGGCAGCACCAGTGATTCTTGTAAAGAAGAAATATGGAAGTCTATGACTCTGTACTGATCAGACACTTAAATAAGGTAACAGTCAAGAACAAGTATCATCTCCCTTTTATAGAAGATTTTCTTGATCAGTTAAGGGGTGCTTATGTTCAGAACATTGCTTTCAGGTCCAGGTACATACATTATGCGTACCAAGACATTCCCTTTGGTCTAACTAATGCTCCTGTAGTATTCATGAGCTACATGAACCTTATTTTTAAGCCTTACTTAGATCAGTTTGTAGTGGTGTTCATAGATGACATCTTGATATATTTCAAGAGTCATAATGAGTAAGCAGAGCATCTCAGAGATGTATTATAAATTTTGAAAGAGAAACAACTTTATGCCAAACCTTCAAAATGTGAGTTTTGGTTATCAGAGGTTCAGTTCTTGGGTCATGTAATATCTGTTGAGGGAGTGGGAGTCGATCCTAGCAAGATTGAGTCAGTCATTGACTAGGAGAAACCTAAGACTGCAACAGAGATCAGAAGTTTTCTGGGTTTAGCCGTATATTAAAAAAGATTAATTGAGGGGTTTTCCCAAATGGTGCTACCATTGACCAGTCTTACAAGAAATGGCAGTATGTTTGTATGGACCCAATAATGCGAAGAATGCTTTAAGTGTTTGAAGGAAAATTTGACAACAGCTCCAGTGTTGAGTCTTCCAGATCCTGAAGGTGAGTTTGAGCTATACTTTGATGCATCCAAGAGAGGCCTTGGGTGTATTCTTATACAGTACAGAAAAGTGGTAGAATATGTTTCAAGACAATTGAAGCTGCATGAGGAAAACTATCTGAGTCATGATTTAGAGCTTGATACAATTGTCTTTGCTTTAAAGATGCGGAGGCTCTTCCTTTATGGAATAAATTTTGCAGTATTCAGGACCACAAAAGCCTCAACTATTTATTCGATCAGGAAGAGCTGAACATGAGACATAGAAGATGGGTAGAGTTCCTTAAAGATTATGACTTTGAGCTTAAGTATCATCCTGGCAAGGCCAATGTAGTAGCCGATGCATTGAGTAGGAAATTTGCTAGTTTGTCTAGTATGATGATCACATATTATGATGTTATAGAGAAGTTTAGAGATTTACAGCTGTCCATCATTGTTGGTGATAGAGTTCTTATACTAAGGACAATAAAGATACAGAATGAGTTCGTAGAAAGAATCAGCGAAGCACATATGCAAGATAAGGATATAAGTTCCATGAAAGATCAGAGTGACATCTCTTTTGACAGTCAGTTTGTGATGTTATTTCAGAAGAGAATAATTGTACCCAAGGGCCAATTAAGGGAGGAGGTAATGACAGAGGCACATAAAGGCTAGTTCACCATTCATCCTGGAGCTACAAAAATGTACCAGGATGTGAAAAGAAATTTTTGGTGGCCGAATATGAAAAGAGGCATTGTTGAATATGTCTCGAGGTGTTTGACTTGTTAGAAAGTCAAGATAGAGCATCAGAAGCCATCAGATTTGCTCCATCCATTGAGATTCCTGAGTGAAAATGGGAGAGTATCTCCATGGATTTTGTAGTGATTTTCCTAGAACCCAAGCTAGATATGATTCCATATAGGTCATTGTTGACAGATTGACAAAAACAGCCCATTTTTTGTTAGTAAAGTTGACTTTTTCTATGGAGAAGTTAGGTCAGTTGTACTTGAGTGATATTGTTAAACTTCACGGGATTCCTGTTAGTATCATTAGTGATCAGAATCTGAGGTTTACTTCTCGCTTCTGGGGTGCATTATAGGAGGCCTTTGGTACTCAGTTGAGACTCAGCATAACTTTTCATCCATAGACAGATGGTCAAGAGGACCATACAAATATTGGAGGATATGCCGAGGGCCTGCACATTAGAGCAGGGTTCTATATGGGACAAAAATTTACCTTTTGTTGAGTTCTCGTATAATAAATGTTTTCATGCCAGTTTGGACATGGCACCCTATGAAGCATTGTATGACCGAAGATGTGGGACACCCACATGTTGGACAAAGATAGGAGAGAGACAGTTATTGGGGCCAGATCTAGTGCAAGACACTACAAAATAGATTAAGTTAATCAGAGAGAAGTTAAAGAAAGCACAAAGTCACCAGTAGAGCTATTATGATCACATGCATCGTCCTCTTCAGTTTAGTGAGGGGGGGCATGTCTTGTAACCTGTGACAAGTATAGGGCGTGCTCTAGCAGTGAAGAAACTAAGTTCCCGATTTATAGGCCTTTATGAAATAATACGTAGGGTGGGACCAATGGATTATCAGCTTGTTTTGCCCCCCATTTATCCAAGTTACATGATGTTATTCATGTCTTTCAACTCCAAAAGTACATTCCAGATCCGTCAAATTTTTAGGGATGATTTTGCATGAATAGTAACCCACGAAAATCAAATTTTTATGATTTTGATGGTTGTTTTTCATGTTTAATGTTATAGATATGAGCCAAATGATGGTTTGGTGGTAGAAGATCCATTAGACTTCTCATTGGGATGAAAACCTCAGTCTTTGGTTTTTCAAGAATAACGTTAGTTGGTTAAAAGATATTATGTTAGAATTCTAGCCATTGGACTTAATAAATCATGTGTACGTTGTGTGTTAATCAAAATTTCACATTTTGCCATAGGTGATTGTTTGTGATTAGTTGTGGTTGAGACACTGACAGTAGAAAAGAGAGCAGAATACGAAAGTCTACAGCAAATAAACTTTTTTTGAGCCTTTTCCAGTGGTACGTGTATTGAGTCCGATTGCTTATCAAGTGGGTTTGCCTGAGGGGTGTAAGATACATCCTTCTTTCCATGTGTCTGTTCTCAAACCATACCATGGTGAGGCTTCTGCAGTCACTATGCCATTACCAAATTGGAACCCATCTCCTATCAGTAGGTTGTCGAGGTAATTGCATAGGGAGAGTCACTCATTTGATAGCACAAAATTAACGCTAATAATGAAAATATATTCTAATAGACATATTTTGTACCAGTTTGGTCAAGGAAATAACAAGACGGATGATTATTATTATTTTTTAATAGAAGGGTGCCTTTGATAACAGAGCAAATTAAGGATAATAATGAAAATATATTCCAACTTGTACACATTTCTTCTATGTGTTTTTCAACTCTTCTTTAGAGCTATCAAAATAGGTTCGATCCTCTGAATCAATTCAGTATAACTCACCACAATGGTGAGAAACATATAAGCGAATTTAATTATTAGCCAACTATAAAGAGACAATTGGTTCTTGAAAATCCTTATATAAGATTGCAAGATTATTCTAATCCATAGGATCAAGGGTCTCACGTAAATATAACCACATGCATAAGTAAATTAATCTAATAGTTATGCGAATAATATAACTCATTTATAACATATATCAAATAACTGATGAGGAAAACAAGTACAAAAAAAAAATTGTTTCACAATGTTTCTCTCATGCATTTCTCCATTATTTTCATCTCCGAAACTTATTTTCAAGATTGCTAAAACATATCGAGATTATAAGTTACTGCTCAGTAACATTTATTTATAAAATTCCATCACTCCTGACATAGCTGAGACATCAGTGCAAGAAACATGAAATCTGGAAAATCCAGAATTCCTGCATAAACTCTCAAATTCTTTCTCAGTTCTTTCCTTTCCACCATGTACCATAAACATGAGATTGTCAAGAGCACAAGTATGCTTAGATATTCTGCTTGAATCCGGTATTTCTGGAATTATATAATCCAGAACAATCACCTTTCCATGCTGTGGCAAAGCTTGGTGACAATTTTTTAAAAACTTCACACATTCTTCATCTGACCAATTATGACATACAAGCTAAAATGACCAAAGACAAAAGAAAAAAAATCTGATTAGAATATTTTTATGTTATAATATTGAATTGTTTAAATATGTAAACTTGAACTCTCATGTAGTTCACTAACCTTTAGTAAAATGGCATCCCCTTTTGGAACACTTTCAAACATATCTCCTCTTACATGCTCTATTCCTTCAAAAAAAAGAGTATTTTTTAATTAATAATTTAGGCAAAATTAATGAACTTATTCCATTTTTTGATAAACAATCATCTCATCAAAAAGTTTAAGTTGATATGTAAGGGTCATTTCCCATTTATCTTGTGCTAATTTAACTTACTTTTTACTTTTATTAAAAAAATGAGGTAGTGAGGTTGGAACTCATGATCATTTGATCAAAAGCTCTTATACTATGTGATATAATCAATCTAACCCAATAACTTAAAGCTTTTAAATGATGTTCACATTTATAGTTTAATTCATATTAATATTTGTTAACACTTTTTCCCCCAGAAAGTGAAATTTTCCATCTTTTAAAATATTGTAGGTTATATATATATATATAGAGAGAGAGTGTGGTACCTGGAAATGATGGTGCATCTTGAACCACTTGAGGCAAATCATAATTAATTCCTTTTATTGAAGGATACTTGGAGATAATCAGTTTTAAGCCCTGCCCTGATCCACCTCCTACATCAACAAGTGTTGAGATTCCCTCAAATCCTTTATATAGCTCAAGGATCCTTTTCATGTCTAATGGGCCGGCATGGGCCATTGCTTTGTTGAAAATGTGATTCAGCTCTTTATCTCTCTTCATATATTGATAAGCGGGCATTCCATAAACTTTTTCGAAATGGTTATTGTTATTAGGATCCACAATTGCATCCTTCACATCCTTCCTGGTAAGAAACAACACAAAAATATCATATTAAAAATCTCTAATTTGTTACATTGAATACAACCATGCCATCTCAGAAATCTTAACTAATTATTAATAAATTAAGGGTCACAATTTTAATGACCAGGATGTGCAAAATAATCAAAAAACTGAACCGAACCATGAACTGAACCAAACCACCCTTAAAATAATCAGTTTTTAAAAAATCAGTTTATGAACCGAACCGGTTTTTAAAGAACCAGTTCATGAACCGAACCGATTTTTGAACTAGTTTAAGAACCGAACTGAACCGTTTTCAAACTGAACCAAATTGATTTTTATAACTTTATTTTTTAAATTTTTAATTTTTTTTCTTTTCAAAAGAGGGTCGACTCGAACCGATTCTGAACCGAACCACTTCCGAACCGAACCATTTAAACCAATTCGGTTCGATTTTTCAAAAAATTCGGTTCAGTTCGATCCATGCACATCTCTATTAACGACGACGTTGATAAAAAAAGAAAAAGGAAACGATCATGAACCAATAAGTAAAAGATTGAGATTTTTCACATGTAATAGTGATTAAGTAATAAATGCTTATTCTTAAAAAAAAAAAAAAAAAAAAAGGTAATAAATGCTTATTTACCAAATGTCATAATATCCTCGATGCACTAAAGTTGAGAGTGGACCCAAAGAGCCTCCATCGTTATCAGAAGCAAAGTATTGACCAATGGGTGAGAGAGCATAAACTCTTTCTCTCTTACCATCTTCATTGGTGCGAATGGAACAATTCAGAAGAGAATAACTAGCTAGCACAGTTAACATGCGTTCAAGCCTGTTAGCCAATTCTGGGTGTTCATAATTTGGAAGCAGAGAAGCAATCTCAGAAGCAGACAAGCTTGAACCACATGAACTCTGTTTCTTAGCTATGATGTCAAACAAGTTGAGATCAATAGCAGCATTTAGGATTGCAGGAAAGATCCTACTAAAACATAGTAACAAAGCAGAAAGGTAAGCATCATCAACCTTTGCTACCTCTCTGGGAAGCTCATTCTCTTTGGAATTGGAACTCATTTTTACTACCCTTTTTCTTTTTGTTTGCTATTCACTTCTTTTGTTGTGTACTTTCTTCAATTTTTGCATCGGTTTATATAGGCATAATATATGCCTACGTAATTGATTATGCGGGATGACATTAAGGATGACCTAATCTGTCTGCGAATTTAATTGAGTAGGTTTTGACTTTAATGGATAAAACACACACACAAAATATTTTCTCCTTTTAAAAGAGAAAAATTTTCTCATGTTAGTTACTCAAAGCATAAGTGGGTCTCACCTTGAATTTTTTTCTCTTTCCACTATTTTGTGGGACCCACTTATGCTATGGGTCATTAACATGAGAAAAATTTTCTCCTTTAAAAAGAGAAAATGTTTTCCTATATATATATATATATATACGTGGACTTATTGTTTCTCAAGCTGCTTGAGACAACGTTATCTCCGACTATTAAATCATAACCGTAGAATTAATAGTGATAAAAGGTGAGAGAGAAAAAGGAAATCATAACCATTCAAAGGTGAATCAATTAATATAAGGAAATAAATAAACAAAATGACGTAGTTTTGGAGTAGCCGGAGATAAACTTATCTCAAACAGCTTGAGAAATATTTTTCTCTCTCTCTATATATATATATATATAGAGATAGGATCAACTTACACCGATGTAAGAATAATAAATCTTACACCAAATCTTAACCATTGATTTACGTGCATCCAACAGTTGAGATTTATTGGAAATTAAAAATTAATTAATGAGTGAGACCTAATAAATCTTAACCGTTAGATGCAGAAAATCAATGGTTAAGATTTGATGTAAGACTTATTATTCTTACACCGGTGTAAGATGATCATGCCTCATATATATATATATATATATATATATATATATATATATATATATATATATATATATATGGGTCCCTCTTTTCTCATGTTGTAGGAGAAAGAATTCTTCTACTATAGACACAATAAGTGATGGGTCCCACCTCTCTTTAAAAAACAAAAATAAAAAAAGTTGTTGCACACATTTCGATGTCTCTCTGGTAGGAGAAAGAATTCTCATGTAACATGAGAATTCTTTTCCCATATATATATATATATATATATATTGGATGCACGGAAATCAACGGTTAAAATTTGGTGTAAGATTTATTATTCTTACACTGGTGTAAGTTGATCCTATCCCATATATATATATATATATATATGGGTTTTATAATTCTAATTTAACATAAGAATTCAAATTTTCCTACACACCCTTCAATTTCCGTGCTAACATAGGTCTCACATTTAATTTTTTCTAACACATGGGTCCCACATGTTTTTTATCTCTACCACATGAGAATTGAATTCTTATTCAACATGAGAAAATCAAACCCTATATATATATATATATATATATATATATATATATGGGTTTAATATTTCTCATTCAACATGAGAATTGAATTCTCATGTTGAAGAGATAAAAAGCATGTGGGACCCGTATGTAAGAAAAAATTATGTGTAGGACCCACGTTGACACGAAAATTGAAGGGTGTGTAGAAAAATTCAAATTCTCATGTTAAATGAGAATTATAAAACCATATATATATATATATATATATATATATATATATATATATATATATATATATATATATATATATATATATATATATCCGAGTCTAGAAATAGTTTCTTTACGATAATATAAGAATAAGTCCTTGCAAGTCGAGAAACTTTGTACATCTTTTTACCCTTTATTCCCGTAATCTCCCATTAATAACATCATGAAATTTCTTGATTTTGTACAGCATGGCCAAGATTAGTGATACTAGTCACTATCTGAAAAAAAAATGAAGCAATTAAGTCAAGCGTAACGGGTTTTTTACTAACGGCAAAATTTCTTGCTATCGAATAACAGTAAAATTGCATTTAGGTATGTTAAAAGAGAAAAATGTGTTATTTTAAAAGATGTAAAGTTATATCATTTCAAGTAAGAGAAAGAGATAAATTATAAAAAAGAGAGTGGACAAAAAAAATATGGATCCCGTATTTTTATAAGAGTAAAATGACACAAATTATATCATTTAAAAAGACAAATAATTTTCACATAATAAAAACATTATCTTGTGCACTTGATTCAAAAGGTTTACCGCCTCAGTTGTTCTTGACCAAAATAATATGTAATAGGGCCGTAGGGCCCTCTACTTTATCAAAAAATAAATGAGAAAATAATATGTAATAAAATAATACAACAATAATTTTCACTTGGAAAAGAGTTATATTGACAAATTTTTTTCTTATAAATTTACAAATTATATTATATCTGACCATCAATCAAAAGTGTAATTAATCAGACTTAGTATAATTTGTAAGTTTCAACATCAACATCAACATCAACAACACATTTATCCCAAATTAATTGGGGTCGGTGGTAGATGAACCCACATAAGAGATACAAAACGGTTGAAAAAATAAAAAATAAAAATAAAATAAAAATAAAATAAAAAATAAAATAAGATAGAATAAAATAAAACAAAAATAAAATAAAATAAAAATATATGTATATATAAATAAATAAAAGTAAAAAAGAAAGGGACAAGAAGAAGTGGGGGAAATGAAGGGGAAAAGGCCTAAAAAGGAACCATCCGAAACATAGGAATAACAGCGGGTCTAACCCTCCACCATACTTATAGCTTTTCTCCATTCCGTTCTAAGACTTACTGTCCGCCAATCTATATCCCACTCCATTAAATCATGTTTTACTACCTTCCCCCAAGTAAGCTTCGGCCTACCTCTGCCTTTTTTTGTGTTTAGCTCTTGGTAACAAACTTCTGTTCTTACAAGAGCATCCATGAGTCTTCTCATCACGTGCCCAAACCACCTCAATCTATGTTCTCTCATCTTCTCGGCTACCGGTACTACTCCGACCTTTCGTCGAATATCTTCATTTCTTATCTTATCCATCCTTGTGTAACCACACATCCACCTTAACATCCTCATCTTTGCTACTCCCATCTTATGCTCATGTTGCCTATGTGCTGGCCAACATTCCGCTCTATATAGCATTGCCGGTCTTACTGCCGTTTTATAGAATTTTCCTTTTAACTTCAGGGGGATTTTGCGGTCACACAAAAATGCAGATGCACTGCGCCATTTCATCCATCCTGCTTTGATTCTGTGATTTACATCCTCATCAATCTCTCCACCTTTTTTGTAAAATGGAGCCCAAGTATTTAAAAGCATCTTTTTTGGGTACCTCTTGACCATTTAGATGCACGGGCTCTTGGTCCCCATCTCGTACCAAAGAAAACTCACACTTCAGATACTCAGTCTTGCTTTGACTTAATGTGAATCCTTTGGATTCCAATGTGCTTCTCCACAGTTCAAGTTTTCTATTAACACCCTCCTTGCTCTCATCAATAAGCACAATATCGTCTGCAAAAAGCATACACCATGGCACTTCCTCTTGAATATCTTTTGTTAGTTCATCCATAACTAAGGAAAAGAGGTAAGGACTTAGAGCCTACCCTTGGTGTACACCTACCGTGATAGGAAAATAACTTGATGATCCGTTACAAGCTTTTACACATGTAGTAGCCCCATCATACATATCCTTAATTGCCTTTACATACTTTAATGGAACTTTTTTCTTCTCCAGAACCCACCATAAAACTTTCCTTGGGACCCTATCGTATGCTTTCTCAAGGTCTATGAACACCATATGCAAGTCCTTCTTCTTTTCTCGGTATCTTTCCATTAGTTGTCGCATCAAGAAAATGGCTTCCATGGTACATCTTCCTGGCATAAATCCAAATTGATTAACAGAAACCTTGGTATCTCTCCTCAAGCGATGCTCAATAACCCTCTCCCACAACTTCATAGTATGGCTCATTAGCTTAATGTCTCTATAGTTTGAACAATTCTGTATATCTCCCTTGTTTTTGTAGATAGGCACAATCATACTTTTCCTCCATGCATCAGGCATCTTATTCGTCTGGAGAATCTTATTATAAAGATTGGTCAACCATTTTATTGCCACATCCCCCAGGCCTCTCCACACTTCAATAGGGACACCATCAGGCCCCCAGGCTTTATTAGTCTTCATCCTCTTTAAAGCTTCCTTAACTTCATGTGTATTAATTCTGCGTACAAATCTTCTATTCATATCATCATACGCGTCCTCTAGGTCCACCTCGCTTGTAACTCCGTCCCCATTAAACAGCTTGTTGAAGTATTTCAACCATCTTTCATTTACATCTTCATCTCTCACCAGAAGTTTTTGATTTTCATCCTTGATGCATCTAACTTGGGTGAGGTCTTTACTTTTCTTATCCCTTATCTTTGCAAGTTTATAAATCCCTCTTTCACCATCCTTGCTCCCAAGATTTTTATACAACTCGTCGAAAACCTTGCCTCTAGCTTCTCGCACTGCTTTCTTTGCATTTTTTCTCGCCAATCTAAACTTTTGCAGGTTCTCTTCACTGGGACTTTTATGCAAAGATCTAAAGCACTCGTTTTTATGTTTAATTGCCTCTTGCACCTCTCCATTCCACCACCATGTTTCCTTTGTATGAAATCCATTTCCTTTGCTTTCTCCCAACACCCTCCTTCCCAAATTTTGAATACACTTAGCCATCTCATTCCATATTGCATTTACTCCTCCATCAAACTCCCAAGGTCCTTCATGCAACATTCTGTCATTGAACTCTCTCTTTTGCCTCCTTAAGCTTCCACCACCTTATCCTTGGATTCTGAGCCCTCTTCTTCATTGAACGTACTTTGTTGAACCGAACATCCAAGACTACCAGCTTATGTTGCGTAGCGACACACTCTCCAGGATAGACCTTACATTCGACACAAGAAGTTCTATCTTCTCTTCTAGCCAGAAAGAAATCAATCTGACTACGATTATGGCCACTATGATAAGTGATTAGGTGTGACTCCCTTTTTTGAAAAAAGGTGTTCACTAACATCAAATCGTAGGCTAGTGCAACATTCAAGATATCTTCTCCAGTCTCGTTTCTCGTCCCATAGCCAAAA